AAACCATTGGTAAACCCAGATGGGAAAACCCATGCTGATGCAAGCTTTTTGAGGACAGCTATGGCCATGGTTCCCATTGAAGTTTGGCTCACAGGAATGGAAACTCCAGTAATCACATACACTTTTTTAGACAGTGGTAGTTCCTCAACGTTCTGCACAGAAGCCTTGATGAGACAGCTAGGAACAAATGGTACAAAAACCACAATCTCTTTAACTACATTGGAAAAGAAGGGCAGTCTCGCCATTTTTGATTTGGATGAAAATGCTTTTGTTGATCTTCCAACAATTTTCACAAGGCCCAGCATACCACTGTCATGTAAAAACATACCCACCCAAGATGATGCGGACAAATGGCTTAACCTTTGAGTGCACCTGCCCAGAGTTGATGCGGATGTTGGTCTACTTTTAACAAGTGATGTTCCTGAAGTCCTTGATCCCTTGGAGACAAAACAGAGCCAGGGTGGTGGACCTTATGCTTTGCATACAAACATGGGATGGGCAGTTACTAGTCCCTTGACTCCATATCGCCATGGCATCCATGTGTCAAGCTTTCTCATCAAAGTCAACACTGAACCACAACAGCTGGTGAAAGATTTCTACAATTGCAACTTCCATGAGTCCATTGTTCATAACCAGATGGAGTTATTCCTGGAAGAGCAGCGTTTAATGGAAAGAATGAAAGAGTCCTCAAAGTTGAGGAATGGTCATTATGAGATCGCCTTGCCCTTCAAAGGTTGACAACATCCAGTTCCAAACAACCATGTCCAAGCAGAAGAGTGTGCCATGTGGTTAAAGAAGTTAGAGAAGAAGCGAATGTTTCCTGATGACTACAAGATCTTCATGCATGACCTTGTCGTCTAAGGATATGCTCAAAGAGTACCCGATCACCAAAGGGGGACAGGCCACAAAGGCAAGACATGGTTCATCCCCCACCATGGAATTTACCACCCACCTAAGCCTGGGAGAATTTGTGTGGTTTTCGATTGCTCCGCAAAGCACAAGGGAAATTTTCTCAGTGACCAGCTAGCAACCTGTCATGGAAATTTTCTCAGTGACCAGCCGGCAACCTGTCACGTGCTTTGGCAGAATACCAGATGACTGTTCATCTTTTTGGCGCTGTGTCGTAACCAGCCTGTGACAACTTTGCCCTTCGGAAAAGGGCAGATGATAATGAGCAGCACTTCTCCCGTGATGTGGTAAATACCGTCACACACAACTTCTATGTCGATGACTCTTTAAAGTCCCTTTCATTAGTCACATTCGTTATTGCCCATGTTCATGAATTGCGTAGCTTGTTGCAGTGTGGTGGTTTTCGATGGATAAAGTGGGTCAGCATCAGCTGAGATGTTCTGGAAAGCATTCCCAAGCAGGAGCACAGCCAAGAGATCAAGAAGCTAGACCTTTGAAAGGATGAGTTGCCAAATGAGCACCTGCTTGGTGTTCAGTGGAGGGTAGAAAACGACACATTTGGTTTCAACATTAATCTCAAGCACAAACCTCCCACTCGGAGAGGTATATATTGTCTGTCGTTGATTCAGTCTTTGATCCATTTAGTTTTGTTGCACCTTTCATATTGATTGGCAAGAAGATTCTACAAGATTTATGTAGAATAAATTTAGGCTGGGATGATGAAGTGCCAATGGAGCATCGCGCACACAGGCAAATATGGCTTTCAGATGTCCCTAAACTGTCGCAGTTTATGATTGATTGTTGCTTCAAATCAGCTGACTTTATGGAGATTGTGTCCAGTCAGCTTCACCACTTCTCTGATGCCTCCGAAATTAAGGGAATTTTCAGTGTACAGCCCTGTCTGAGTCCTCAGCCAAGATTGATGAAAGCTGTTACAACTATTGTAACTACGAAGTATCACGCGATGGTCAAGACAGCTGTGTTGTTTTATTCATAACTTAGAAGTACATCGCAAGCATTGTGACGTCATAATTACATAATTTATGACACTCTCCCGGGCCGATTAGATAAGAAATAGTATGGAATGATTAGCAAAATAGAAATATTTAAGAATAGCTTCGTAATAAATATCTTTCAGGTCAAGTAGTCCTTTGATTGTTCCCGGATTCTGTGAATTGCTTTCTGAGCGGCAAGTCGTACTGCAGGGCGTTGTTTATTGTTTATAGCTTCTTTGTCTTCCTTTTCAATACTTTGTGTATTGTTCTCGCTGGATA